TCTTTCATAGGCATTCTCATACTGGTATATCCCACCTTCTAAAATTTTAGTATACAAGAAAACACTTCTGACTATAATTTAGAAGTACTGTTATATCAGACTGAGTCCTGAAGCCTGATTTCATTTGTTCATATTTGTGTTGAGTAAGAAAAGTGGAATATGATTATAGTATTAGTGACAACAAATACTTTTGAAGGAGCTGTTTTCTCAGGAAATGTGAAAGTTGTTGTTTGTAGTAGAGATTAAATCAATGTTAATGATGGAGTTCATTCTGTCAAAGTTTCCATCTTGCCATTGTCTGTAGACAAGCAGAAAAGGCAAGCTATTTGTCTCAGAAGTTACTAGCCTCTTTCTCAAGACAAGGTTATTATACCACTATAATAAAATGAACTAGTGTTTCAATCAGTGCAATCCATCTGGTCTCAGACTTCTTAAATCCCATGTAAAGGAGTCTCCTGCATGGTTTATTAACCTGCTAGATAGTTCAGTACCTTTAACTATATCTAGGTTCCTGCAACAGGCTGCTTATCCCTGTGAGGCAAGCTAAATACCCTGGATGGTTCTGCTTTCTTCAGGATTCTGTGGACAAGTTATAACTCTGCATTAGCAAGACGTCTGGGAGTCCTTCCCAGCCCAAGGAGGAGCTACCCAGCAGTTTGCTAAATCAAATGAAATTTGTGCGTGCACCAGTTTTTCTGACTCCTACTCAGCTCTCCCTTAGCAGGTTATCTGTTTAAATTCAATTGTTGAGCTCGCATCTTCCAAAATATGAGATTTACTTTTGTCATATTTAAAGGCTTATTTCCTAATGTTTTCCTCCATCCCACTGCTTAAAAAAACCTTTTTTTTTTTTTAACCCATAGCTTTTATTTTCTTAGTGTTCTGTTTCAGTTTATACCCACACTTTGAAAGGAACATCAGTTGCCATTTTCCTGTATATTACACGCAAACAAATGGGCAAATGAGTAAATGAAGAGTAAATGAAACTCCGGAAGAACATGTGTTATTAATTTTTATAAATGACTCTCCTTTCTCAGAATTTTCATGTAACAACTCCATTCATTCAGCCAACACTTTCCATTATTTGCAAATTACCAGTGACCTTCCAGTAGATGCCCTCATTCTAAGACATCTCTACATCATTCAGACCTTGTATCAAATCCATGAAGACTTGTAATGTTTTTTGGAAAATGGAAGGCCTGTAGCACCAGAGCAGACAAGTAGTCAGGAGAAAAAGTTACGTCATGACAGAACAACAACAAATTAACCCTGTTGAGAAAACTAGACCTTTAATTTTTAAAACTCTTACTGTTCAAATCAATTCATGATCTTGTTCTACTCACCTTTTCCCAAGTTTGTATGTTACCTCATCATTCTCTTTTAAAGCCATTGACAAACAATCAAACATGAGCTCCTATTCTCAGGTCTGGTAGATGGTCGTATAAGGTATGAATTGTAGCAGACTCCAAAAAGTGGTGGTGGTGTTAACTGGGAAGATCATCCCTTTGCAGGGAGGTTCTGTGAAGCTACAAAGACTAGACATGCTTCCAACTTTATACAGACCTTCCTCTTGAACACCTAGAGAAGCAGTAGCTGTTGTGGGTGGTCAGGCAGGAAGAGCCTCCATTCAAAAGGAGACATTGGGCATCGTAGACTTAAACCCAAAGAAATGACCATGCATAGATGATGTCCAAAAAGGATGGCCTTGTGTAGGCCTGTCAGAAGCAGGACTCCACGGGTGTCTGTAGTTCAGTACAGTTTTGTTCCCAGAGAGCTTCAGTTCTCTTCTAGCTTCTGCCACCACTCCTGCATTTACTCTTGCTCTGCCCCAGTCACGCCTTGACTCCGTGACATCGTGATTGAGCCTTTGTCCAATACTACAGCATCTCAAGAAACTGTAAGATGGAGAAACTGATCTAAGACATGAATTTATAAATAAATCAAATCATCTGCTGAGAGTTTAGAGTGGTGGTTTAAGACCATTAATGTTCAGATGTTTCTTTCTGTTGCAGGGTGGGAATAACGCAGGCCATACTGTGGTTGTTGATGGGAAAGAATATGATTTTCACCTATTTCCTAGTGGCATCATTAATCCAAAGGCAATTTCTTTTATAGGTAAGACAATTTTGGAACTTATTTAATAAAGTAACATTATGTGGTAGATAGTTGCAACCATATTTTATAGTAGCAAGCAAATGAAAACATACAGGTGACTGTCAGATTTACTTTAGCTTCAGCTGTTTGACTTTCATTTTACTGCTGCTTTAACATGAAGAGTTATTCTACTTTCAGTGTCAGTTTAGTTTCTGCTACTAGAAAACTGAAAGTAAGAACCTCCTCTTTCTATCATGTTGCTCTTTCTTAGGCTTTATGCTTTAACTTTGGATCCCATCCTCTACTTGCACACTCCTTTTATAATTTCAGAAATAGATATGCTATTCTTTGAGGACACTAAACCTAGCCCTTAGGCTAAATAAATAATAGGATTTATCACTGGCATCTCTGTACTGACTTTCCAGAAACAGGTCCCAGGATACAGGGCTCTGCTTGGAAGGTTATCATCCAGTCTCCTTTTTGTTCACATTACGAGCTGTTTCAGGTGATGTTGTATTTCACTGTAAAGCTGTTTGATGCAGATGGCATCATAAAAAAGTTTACATTGCTCACTCGATATTAAACTCATATTTAAGGGATAGGCAAATTTGGACAAGTAAAAGGCTTAAAATTATGATTCTTTCTGACAGAAAAAAATGTATACAGAACGTGCAAGAAATGAGTGTAAGTTTTAGTAAGTCACAGAGTGTCAGTTTTGTTCCATTTGATAATTTCTAAATGGATGATTGAAATATATGAAACATACTTTTTCTCTCTGCTAAACATGGTGTATTTTCTCGCTGTCTGATTTTTTTCTCTCGTCGGTTAGTAAAGACTATAACTTGTTATCCTAAATTTAGGCTGAGACAGACTCTTGTGGATATTTCTGATGTTCCCAAGAAGGAAGCAGCATCTGTTTTCAGCCCACTGCATCAGTAGTCCTCAACTTCTCATCAGTAATGCTGTGTGTTGCTTGTGGATTCTATACTGTAGCTCAAAAGCAGGGAGGAGACATTGCTGTTGTGTTGCAGCACTAGTTGGAGCTGAGTTTACAACAAATACGTGAATATTGGCGAAAACTTAAATATTGTCACACAGACTTGTCAGTGTTGTAAGGCCACAGACTTCTTTGAGCTTTTACCAGTGAACAACTGAGGCTGAAGTCGTGGTGCAAAGTCCACCACAAAGAGAAGAATCCGCTTACCTCAGCTGGCTTTGGTCAGGCCCAGTGCCTGCATCTGAAACGAGCAAGCTGTTTTTTCTGATTTTAGCAGGCTTGTAGCTGCTTACCCAAAATGAGGATTTATCCAAAAAGTTCTCAAGATCACTTTGTGACAAATGTGAGAAACTTGGTCTTACTTTTTAAATAAAATTTCAGACAGCAAGTGTTAACATGCTTTACATTCTAAGAATGAGTATTTTATTTCTTGCTTTAAAATAAATCATTTATGTTCCCAAAGGTAATGGAGTGGTTATACATTTACCAGGCCTATTTGAAGAAGCTGAAAAGAATGAAAAGAAAGGTTTGTATCGAGTAATTTTTAACCTTTCTTTATGTTGGCAGCCAGGTTGGGGTGTTTTTTAAGCCTTTGTTTCTGACCATGAATATTCAGTACAATAACATTCTGGATTTTAAATGATGGGGGGGAAAAAGTATTTAAAATGTTGAATAGTGTTGTAGTCTTCAGACAGATTTTTCTAAAGCAATCTTTTCAAGGGTTTTCAGGGAGTTTTATGGCCTTTTAATACCAAATTAGATAGAAAATAAAATCCTAAAGTGTGTGGCAAAGCTCTCTTTAACCTCAAACTGAGACGATTTAACCCAGAGTTTCTGTGTTCCCATTTCTGTGCCCAAATATAAACTCCATTGGTTCTGCTTTGAGCAAGGCTCCTTCTAAGACCTCTTACATCTTAAATTGTTTTATGATTCCGTACATATAAATTCTCTGTTTTCTCAGCCACAAATGGAGTTTAAGTGATTTATCATATAGCGAGTTAAACAAGAATCTTTCCTTAAAATGAGAATTGCCTTTAAGCCACAGCGTTCTGGCATTAAGAAGAAGCAGTAAGTATCTTTGTCCGTACCAAAATGAGAAAGCTGAAAAAGTAAAAAACGAAAAAAGTTTTTTAATGAAAACGTTGTGATATTTGATATTCATTTATGTTTTATCTGTTTTGTCTACAGTCTTCCTAACAAGAAGCTATATAAACTAGAAGAGAGACATAGAAAAACTAAAAGCAAATCTCAGTTTGACCAATCAGCGCAGCTGAAATCGTACTTTTCTTTATCTCTTCTGACAGGTTTAAAAGATTGGGAGAAAAGACTGATTATATCAGATAGAGCACATATAGGTAAGCGAATGATTGAAGGAGAAAAAACTCACAAACAATGGCTTAGCTCATGGCGCTAAACTACATTATTACTCCACAGAGCACTCATATATTTAATCTAATACAGCCTCTTGGTATGCTGTGTGTCTGGAGCATAATAATGGAATGTGTATCCGCTGGAGAGTGATGTTTTATGTGTTTCCACACTCTTTAAGGAATGCTCTCTCTATTTTCACATGAGGAGGCCTGTGCACTGTCAACGATAACAAAGGCACTTTGTCTTGAAATTATGTCTGTCATTTAAAGAATTTTTTTTTTTTCTTTGTCTGTCATTTAAAGAATGTTTTTCTCCTTCGGTCTCCCACTGTGTCCCTTTGATTTTCCATTGCAGTGTTTGACTTTCACCAGGCAGTAGATGGGCTCCAGGAAGTGCAACGTCAAGCACAAGAAGGAAAAAAGTAAATATTTTCAGCACCTTCATTTCATTAATAATTATGCAAATTTGAAAAATCGGTGTAATTTTGGAAAACAGAAATGCAAAGTATCTCTGAAGAGCCTTGTTGATGTTACTGATTCTGTGACCGTTCTGCTCCTGCTTATGCTAGTGAACAAACTCTGAGGTGATACTGAAAACACAGGGTATGAATTCTTACATATTTCTGTTTTCTGCACTCCTACCAAATCCTCAAAACTCTTTTCCATTAAAATGAGATTTCCAGTCCAATTTGATACCAGACTAGTGATGCTCTTCTGAATCGGGTCTGAGGTGTTGGCACGATTAGGTTCCACACTTGTAATTGTTTATTGTATGTTCACTTACACTTCCTGGAGATGATAGTTTCTATTTTAATTATAATCTTACGCTTTAGCACAGTGTGTCATACTTAATTATTCTGGTTTCTGAAAAAACAAAGGTTTATGTGAACGCACTGTACTTTTCCCTCTGTTAGTCTATTCGTTTTTTTATCCGATTGGATAATTTCAGCCAAACTTGGCATACAGAAGAGATCTCAAAATTACTGTATTTCTAAAATGCACATGGAAATAGGCATGTAGGTAGGGAAACAGTTTCATTTTTATCCTCATCAAGGTAAAGGCTGCAGCAATGGTTCATAGGGACAGAGATGGTATGAATAATGCCAAAGCCAGAGGAAACCAGTTTGATCGCTCGCAGAACTGGTCGTTGTTTACAACTATGGACAGCGCTGCAATGGTGATAATGTGAAAATTACATTTGTTTCCTATTGTTCGTGGTAAGGAATGTAGTAGTACCACAGGATAGTATAGTAACTATTACTACTGTATAATGTATGTATATACACACATAGTTTCAACTAAGTTTGTCTCAACCAGACACAAGGCTTAATGCTTTACGACATACCATTAATATTAGCAATATTTATGCAAATCCATGGAAGCATGAAAGTTGCTATATATTTGTTATTATAGAACTTTAGTCTTTTTTTATGTCTCAGATCTTCTGCCCAGTATATGATATACCGAAGAGCTTTAACAAAGTTACTTAGTGTAAAGCATATTTTTGCATGTATTTATACATGTTTGGGGGGTTTCTTTTTAATTAGTATTGGCACAACAAAGAAGGGGATTGGACCAACATATTCTTCCAAAGCTGCACGAACAGGCCTTCGAATTTGTGACCTCCTTTCTGACTTTGATGAATTTTCTTCAAGGTACAACTATTTTAATTTGTAAATATTATGTTAAAAGTGATACATTTTGGCTGACAGATTTGCTTTTAAGGAGATGTTTTGAAATATGTGTCTGAATTTTGTATATAAATTGTCTAGAAGGAGAAGAAAACTGGAAAGAACGTGTATGTGTGTATTTCCTGTACTTCATAGAGTTTCTCATAATTTAAAATGTAATTTTATGCACTGGGACATGCACTGGTTGAGGTATCGAAGTTCTGGGTACTTTCTCCCTATAGTTCTCGGTATATACTGTGTATAATATAAGATGAGTTCTTGTCAAAGTTTCTATGAACAGTAACTCAGAGTGTTCTTCATAGATACAGTTTCAATATTTTACAGATTTAAAAATCTGGCACAACAATACAAGTCAATGTTTCCCTCTTTGGAAATAGATATAGAAGGACAACTGAAAAAGCTAAAGGTAAGGATTAAAACTTGTGATATTTGTTCAGTTGCAGAGAAAGTATAGAAGAAAACAGTAATATTTATTTTAATTAAAAAAGTAGAAATTAAGTGTACTAGAACTGCTACGTATTAAATGAATTTATTAATTTAAATGAAAAATGCATGTCTTCATTATTATAAGACTTTTTAATAAGCAGTAGCTATGCTTTGTACTAGAATGTTCTCTTATAGTAGGCATTAAATGTTATGGATTATTTACTTCTATAATATTTTACTTTTTTGACATAAAACAACTGTTGTATTAACGTAGTCAGGAGAACACAGGGTGACACTTGCATTTAGCAGTCTTCATCCATGACTGAACTAGTCTATCTGAGAGACTTCCATGCTTACTGAAGAATTGTTTGTGGAAGCTGTGTTTCGAGATCCTGGTATTGCAAGAAAAATGCCTTTTTATAAATAAATTCAGAAGAGCCACTGGTTAAAAATCTTCGTTCATAAACATGTAAGAAAAGAGGATGCTAAAAAAATCTCTTACCTTTTCCAGGTTTTGTCTGGTACTTGTTCAGTCCTCATACCCTACCTTTAAAGATATTTTTAGTATTAGTGAGTAGTGATTTTTTTTTTTTGACCTTGCATTATTTTTAAGTCCCATCTCAGTGTGTCTAGGCTATAGACACACTATATAGAGACTGTATCAACAAAATGAGGTAGGATGCAACATCTCTGTGAATAGAAATCGTACAGAAATTATCGTATTCTAATGCCATAATAAGTCGTGTTTTCTCATGTGAGTGATTCAATACATTGATTTGTTTTCAGTAGAATATAAGCTAATGGTTGTATTTTTCAGGTAAAACAGTTATTGAAGCTGATGCGTTAGGTTTATCTGCATGTTTCGTGTTTCAAAAGTGAACACTGTTCCCTGCTTCCAGCCATTGTCTGGGGAAGCTGACATTTCTACTCAAATTTTCAGGGATATGCTGAAAAAATAAGACCCATGGTTAGAGATGGTGTGTATTTTATGTATGAAGCTCTTCATGGCTCCCCAAAGAAGATTCTTGTTGAAGGAGCCAATGCAGCATTACTTGATATTGACTTTGGTAAGTTAAATTCTAAACTTGATTTAAGTCCTAAGAGATTAGTTTTATTTTGATTAGTTTTATTTTGATTTGTGTTCATATCAGCTTAGCAAACAGCAGGAAAATAGAGAAACAAAATGGTCTTTTTAACAGGAACAGATCTCCCAAAAGTAAAGCACAGTAAGCCAGACATTGTATCATTAACAGGATTAAGTTCTTGGGATTTAGATAGTGATTTTTACTGCAGTTTATTCCAGTGGAGTTGAAATTTCAATCCAGATATTCTTTTCTTTATTACTTCTAAATGTGTGCGCTCATTGCCATACATTCCAGGCAGCCATTGCAGTGCTGCTGAGATAATTCCTCTGCAGTGGAGGGAGGATTAAACTGTAAGTCTGGCTTCTTCAGTTGATCTCTGCTCTGCTCTCTTAACAAAAGTCTAATTAAACCACTTAAGTCTCCATGAAGATGGAATGAAGAACTGGAGAGGTGCTCCAATGCAGAGTCACAGTGTAAAGATCATGAGTAACCTCTTAAGATTTAGAAAATTTGCTGCAGATACTCAGAGCTACTTATGAGGAGCACTGGGAATGTCAGACTGTGACCTTTACACCAGGCTGTCCATGGATGTTGCAGAAATACTTTCTGTGATACACAGGACAGGGAAAAAAGCTTTACACAGCAGCAGCATCCTGTAATGGATCCAGTGCCTAATGGAAATAGTATTGAGGTGCTTTTAAATTTCTCCCTTGTGGGCAGTCCTCAGTGGAAGTTGCAAAGGATGAATGCTTACACATTGGAACAGACTACACATACTTTAATACCTCTTTAAGCATAAGTAGTATGTTTTCTTACTTGTCTGGCTCAGTAATAACATGCTTATACAAATTGCCAGGATAAGTCAGCTATTTGAGTGGAATAAAAATCCTTCATTTTGGGGGGTTTTCTGTGGAGATTTAGAGATCCAAAGATGTATTTTTCACTACAAGAGGAAGCAATATGGGGAAGAACAGCTTAATTTTTTCTGTTAAAAGCAAAATGGGGACATGTAATAAGAAGAATTTGCCCTGCTCTTTGGCTGCTGTTTGAATTTAGCTTTAAAGCCAAACGTACAGCCAAAAAATCTCCTTTTCAACTCATAAAGGAAAATCAGTCTTTTGTTGCTTATCGTTGCTGAAACAGGGTTGTGCTGTTGTGTTTTTCTGACAGGCACGTATCCTTTCGTGACTTCATCGAACTGCACTGTAGGTGGTGTGTGCACCGGGCTTGGCGTTCCTCCCCAGCACGTGGGTGACGTGTATGGTGTGGTGAAGGCATATACTACTCGCGTGGGAATCGGAGCCTTCCCTACTGAGCAGATTAATGTAGGTTTAATGTTACGAAATGCAATATATACCGTTGCCGAAAAATAAGGTCAATGGGATGGGATAAGGGTACACCAATGATAAATAAGCACAACAATGGTAATGCCAAGCAATCACACTCATGAAGAGAGGAGAATTACATTATAAACTTAAGGTATTTTTCTTCAGAGGAGGGAAATATGAGTGTGATGATGTTATATTACAGTGACCACACTTTGGTTCTAATGAATGAAGTGAAAACAGATTTCATCATTTTATGTAAAAGTGTTTCAGTGGCAAATAGTTTGTTGTGGACTGGAACTGTCAGTGCATTGCAGGAAAGCTTAAATTACAAGATAAAAACTTCTGTGCTTAGCAGCCTGTGTTCTGTGTCACTTCTAGAATAAATGTGGTGTGTGTGCCAGCCAGTCACGCACAAACTGATCAATAAAAAGAAGGGAAGAGATTTTGGTTCTTTTAAACTGTCTATTGTATTTTCATTAGCAAGAAACTAGAAAGCTCAGGGTATTGATTATGAGCTATGCACACAGCAATCTCTAGGTCAGTGATCCGAATCTAATTTAAGGATTTACTCACTAAAAACCTTTCTCTAATGGCTCAAATGAATTGGTGATATTCTTTAGTTTTATGAATCATGAGTGTAAAGTTTTTCTTCTTGGTTTTTAGCACATGATAAATGCTGCCAGCCCAAAAGGAATAGCTGACGATCACATACTGTGGTAGAACCTAGGAGCCCTAGGCATGGTCAAGGAGTTTGACCTAGACATTGTACAAGCATTGATCTTGTCCCAAGCATTTACAGTCACCCCCTCTAAAACAATAGATACCAAAAAAACAGATGAAGAAAGTAAACACAAACAAAATTAAAAGCAGGACTGAATTGTCAAGGAAATCTTCCTGTCAGATGAAGAAGGAAAAGCATCTCCTTGTAACATGAAGCAGTCATATTAAATAATAATTTTGGAAATGCCTTGTGACTGGAATACAAAGGTCCTGTGCATAAGGGGCTTTATTCTCCTCCTTAGTCCCCTACTAATAAAACTTTATTATCTTTTTCTTTTTTTTCCTGCAAAAAAGCCGTGGAATTGAACAAATATGTTTTTCTTGCTGTTCATCTGTGTTTGTTTAGATTTTGTTTTCCTGCTATTTCTCAGTGAAATGTCATCAGCATTCTTTCTGTTTTCTTTTAGGAAATCGGAGACCTTTTACAGTCCCGTGGCCACGAATGGGGAGTAACTACAGGCAGAAAGAGACGCTGTGGCTGGTTAGATCTTGTCATTTTGAAATATGCTCATATGATCAACGGATTCACTGCGTAAGCATCACAGATTTTGCGCTACATTGGGAAGTGATAATTTTGTGCTTCGCAGAATAAATATGTAGGTAACGTTAATATAAGTCCAGTAAAGTGTTACATTTTCAATATTAAATAATTCACAATGGGCAACTGAGAATCGTCTTAATGCTAACAATAATCCAATTTCTTTGACTTTCTTTTTTCAAATCAGGTGATTTTTGCAGCATCATAGCAGTGAATTTTCATATATGTTCTCACTTTACTTACATCAGATGGCCAATGTAGATTGCATCAATACGCCAGTTTTCTAACAGTTTGCTCTGGTGTTCTTGATCCCGTGCTTTCGTACTGTCTTATGTCGTGATCTAAAACTCACTGGTTTTGAGCTTTGTTTGATTCTAGTGGATCATACTTGTAGGACCAAATCTGCATTGTTTGGATCCACTACATCTTTAAGTGAAATAAGTGGGATGACATAAAGTGTACAGCAACTGGCACAGCTTTCATTCCAGTCCCAACAGGTTCATTTATTTACAAAGGTGTAGTCTGGTGTTGTATTATAAATGCTGCTTTTAATGGGCTGGGATTTATTTTCATTGGGACTGAGTGACTGACTTGGTTGATAAATTATTTTATAATTCAAAATATATATTAAATTGACGTTTTAAAGGAAAAGTGGCTGTTTAAAGGAACTGTTTGAGAACATAATGCCATCAAGTTTGTCTATGTCTAATGCTAAAATGCTAGTAACTATCACAAGCCATTAGTTTATGACTAATTTCCAAAATGT